CTGGGCCCCATCTCAACTTTTGCATTCATCAGTTCCTGGCAATTCATGGCACTGTGTGCCCCATATAGGCAAGGGCATGTTTAGCTGCAATTTCCCCCAATTACATTGCTCGGTTAAACACAAGTAGGCAGCACACAGTTCCTTAATCTCAGTCTATCAGCTAGTTAGGCCTTTCTCTTTTTTACTGTCTTTAGATCTAGTTTTACAACCTGACTGGCTTCAATTACACTTAGACATTTGTGATGCTTTGACCAAACCAATCAAAATGTACCAAAACACTAGTGCTTAGCCTTTGGGCCCCGCAAGCTGAATGAGTGCTATGGGGCCAGTCCATGGTTCAGATGCCTTACAAGGTTGGTGCATGGCACTGGGCCTCATGCTGCCCTAGCTCCAGGCCTTGCACTCTGCTTTGCCCTGACCCTGTTTGCCAGGATTGGGTCACACGCCTGGATTGGGTCTTGTGCATCGCCTTGGCCCAGCCCTACATGCCTGACTTAGTATGCAGGGCCACACTATGTGGCCTGCTGGGCTCCCTGTAGCTCTGGAAATTTGGCAGTAGGGGAGAGGTAATTACTGCTGCTCCTGCACTGCCAAATTCTCAGATTCCTAGGCCAGATGACAACTCTGTGGGCTGGGTCTGGCCTGTGGGCTGGGGTTTGAGCATAGTATCAAAAGGTTCTTGATAAATTCTAATATACTTTAAAAGAAAAACATATTTTGTTAAATGTTTAAAACTCTACATTGAATTGTGTTTTTCATGACTTCACTTTCAAATCCAATGGTATTTTGATGCAACATCGTTTACAACTTACTTCACAAAACACAGATTTGAAATAGCAATCAATATCTAGGGAGGCTCATGGGGTTACATTTGCATTTCAGCTCCTTTTTTTCCTACTCTGGATGCAGTGACCCTTGAACTGACTTGTAAGAGAGAGCAACACAGTTTCTTACAGAGTTTAGGTTTCTTTGAGTGATTTGCCAAGAAGAAGGAAGAGGAAGCAACATCCAATCCTCCTTGAGATACTACAGGATTTCCTCTACTACATACCTCCTGGGGCTGGGCTTTACTGTATCATAGACTCAGTTCTGCTGGATGTATGAAATATGAAGCAAAATATGTCAAGCAGCTATGCTTACAAATGAAAAAGGTTGATTCATGCATCTGAAAGTTATACTAGAACACAAATTTAATAATCCATTAAATACAATGGGCAAAAGATATTTTTCTATGCATTCCCACTTCTACAAAAACACATTTACATAACCCCTATATTTATCTTCATTAATTAAATGAGATGGCATGCAGATGACACTAGTGATTCCTTACCTGTATTGCATATAAGAACACAGTATATCACTTATAGGGGTTATCAAGGAAAACAAATCATTTGCTCAAATACAGTCTCCCTTGACTGTAACCCCCTCATCGCATTTTCCCCTCATGTCATAAGCTTGTCAGCTGTGTCTCATCGCTTAAAGACTGGAGTGGAAGATAGCAAAAGAACATAATGACTTGTTAAGGGGATGTATCAATCATGCCTCGAGAGGAAAGAACTCATAACTCATAAGTAATTACAGAAAAGTAAATGATATTGGTCTCTCCTTCATAGTGGTGTAAATGTCACCTCCAGAACAGCCAATGATGTATTTTAAGGTGTTTAGTTTTTATGCATTTCAACTGTGTTATCACTAGTTTATTAAAATACTATTTTGGGGGGTGGGCAGGGGACCCCCTTTCCTGAACACAAAGCTGCTTCTTCGCATTCTGTCCAAGTTAAAATTCATGGAATGTTAATGAAATTTAAATATTATATACATACACACGTATATCTTTAAAAAGAAAAAAAAAGATTACAGTACCAATCAGCCCATCAATGAATTCTCCTGAAATTAAAGGTATGGTATTAAATTATCATCATCATACCTGTTCTGATTTCCTTCTGTGATCTGATACAAATGATTAGCACCTCCATCAGCACATGCTCTCAAGACAGCTGCAAGTAAATAAATGAAATGTCAAGGAACTGCCACTGTAAACAACATTTTTTATTTGTTCACATAGCGACATGTCTGTGGCACAGATCACAATAATGTTAGGGGACTTTACAATAGGCCTTACAATAGGAAGTATTGTGAGGAGTATTTATCCCAGTTATGTGGGGTAGGGAGACACAAGTATACAGGTTATTCCATTTGCCCAGACTCAAACTTTATGTTTGCAGCAAATAAGATATAGATACCTTCTGGTTTCCAGCTCTTTATCTCAACCATAAAATCATTCTTTGTCTCTCTTCCTTTCTTAGGCATTGTCTAAATACAAATTGAAACTAATGCACATCCCCAAGCAAACACTAACTTCCATGGAGGAATGGTTTATTTCAGTTTAGCTTGTTCCCAGTCAACTTTAGTTAAACAAAAATCACTTTAAAACTAAACTAAAATTGTCCACATGGATCTGTACTTGTTTAAATTTGATTTACGTTCACACCTGAAACATAAGAACATTCCCATGTTGTCAGGATCTTAAGTAACAGAACCTACACAATGACTTTGGCACAAAATGGAATAAGCTATAAAAAGCACTATTGTCTGAACCTGTCCTGCCTTTTTCGCTTCATTTTTTTCTTACATCTCACAAGTCACCACTTGGTAGGAAGCTAAACCAAGACAACAGCCTACTCTACAGACTGCTTGGCTCAAGTGAAATAAAATACATGGGTTATATTTAGGTATTACATCTTGAGCTAGCCTGGTCCATAAGAATTAAAACCATAATCAATTTTGATGTCACCCTAACACCAAACTGCCTTAGGAGATATTTCATATTAAAAACTTAAATGATTTAAATAACACTAACAAGCACATTTTTACCCCAGAGTTTATTTTTAACTTAACTATTATCAGAGTGAAATGTACTCTAATCTGCTAGGCACACAGTCCACTCTCAATGACTTTAACATGCAAATGGCCATTTTATACGAGCATTCCAGCTAGTTAGCAGCAATATATAGGCTACAGGAAATGGATTAGACCTTTGTCCCCAAACCCAGAAGTGAAAAGGGACTCCAATCTATCTGGAAAAAGGGAGCTGACAGTTAGGGAGTCTGAAAAAGCATTTCCAAAGTGGGAAATATGTAAGGTACCCGTGGTATAACAAGATATCCACTGATTTCTGATGTGTCAGCACCTGCCAACTCCATGGAGGTCCCTGTGAGAATAGTTTTCCTATCTTTCTGCTGCCTTTTTTTTTCTGCAACTGCTACTGCATAATAACATTATTCCCCTGTCAGCAACAGCATCTCTCAGGAAAAATATGGATAGGACACTGGAACAGGACTCAGAAAACCTGAGTTCTATCCCTGGTTTAGTCACTAAATTCCTGTGACATTTGGGGGCAAATTGCTTAATTTTTCTGAGCCTTTGTACCTCCTCTCACCCTTCATCTGTTCTATCAAGCTGGACTATAAACTCTAATTGGTGACTGCTTACTAACTGCCTATCTACTGTGGTACACCATTGGCCACAATTCTGTCTGCAGCTCAACTGTAGCTCCTAGGTATTACTGGACAAGAAATGTTAATTTAGAAGCAAAGGAGCATGCCCACAGCCATCCATGTGGACACATTTGCCTCCAGAATGGGAATCCAATCTCTCACAGATCACTAGTATCTGCAGAATCAGGAAAAATGGTGTTAGACACCTGTCGCAGAGCACTCAGGTGCCCTGCGCCTGAGAGTACAAACAGCTTGGGAGAGGCCCCTAGTGGCAAGAAGGGGGAGGCTCAGCTGCCAGTTACTAGGGCAGCCAGAGTCACAGGATGGGGCAAGGCCTAGCCCTTAAGCCCCAGGCGTGAGGCCAGGAAGGCAGTTCCCCTCTGGTGGCCAAGGGAGGGGGAGCTCGGCCAGTGCAGACAGAGGGGAGAAGCCCAACTGCATGAGCATCCCCTGATTGCTGCTACAGGTTGGAGTATTTCCCGGTAGGGATTGTTGTTTGGCCAGACGGTTTAGCTTTTTATGTTATAGCCTGGGGGCTTTGTGCTTTTGGGTTCACTGTTTTGACCACAGGACTGGGTGAGGATATTAGGGGTTGGAGGAGGCCTCATAGATGCTCCATGGTAGCATGGGGACCCTGGCACCAGAGAGGGCGTAGCATTTGGGGTGCATTGACCACAGCCCCAGAGCAAGGGGGGGTGGTGAGAAGCCCCAGAGCAAGGGGGGGCAGAGAAGCCACTTGGAAACTTTACAACTTCACACTGTGCAAACTAAAAGGTCTTTTAAAATACAGGCAGCCCTCAGACTTATGACACAACTGGTTCATCTTAAGATGAAATGTCATAACTCGGAACCAATTTTCCCATAGGAACAATGTTAGAAATGGGGGATTGGTTCCTGAACAAAGGCCCAATACCCTATTTTCATAAAAAATAACCCAGAATTGGTTATTTGTACTCAATCAATTATAGGTGAGTAATATAGCTACATTATTATATTTATATTGTAAATAGCAATGATATTGATTTGGAAGGACTTTTTTTGGGTGACTTTTTGTTGGATTTTTTGAAGGGCTCTTGTTTGGACTTTTTGAAGGGCTCTTGGCTGGAGTCTCCTCTGGAGTCTTGGCTGCAGGTTTTTCTGCTTCCTTAAAGAAAGTGTCCAAGGAAGTTTGGACAGATGGATTCCAGGGAGATGGGTGATGGAGCAAACTTGTTCGCTGGCGTGGCATGGACTCGGATCAAGCATCAAAGTCAAAATTGACATCAAATAGTGGAAACAAGGTGTCAACTTATAAACGTTGTAAGTGACATTTGTTGTAATTTGAAGCATCTTAAGTCAAGGACTGCCTGTAGTTGCATGTTTAGGGGGCCCTAGCTATTTGGAAAAAAAAACTCCATCATATGGAATCCAACTGGCCCCCATGAGTCATTAGCAGAGTAGGAAACAATAGCACAGGTCACTGCTACTTGAGTTAATGGAATAATTCGTAACAATATAAGATTATCGTCACCTGTGTAAACCAGTCACTTCCAAGTAAAGGCGGAGAGGGGGGTGGGCAAGATGCATACTTTGCTAGAAGGTTTCACAATTCACCCACATTGGGTTTCATTCAAAATTCTGGAGGGAAATGTTCTTCATTGGACCAGAGACCTTGACTGCTGTGGTTCCCCTCTAACCTGGCTCTATCTTAATCCTGCCTTTTACTCTCTCCCAGTTGGTAATCCCAGTCTCTTTACCCTTAACAGTCTCATACCCCTGGCATATATACCACTTAAGATGTTGTTCAGATGCAATTAACCAGTTAATCATGTCTTAAATAGCAACTTGGCCACATGTTCAGGCACTTAATGGCATGATAAAATGGGAAACAGGCCATAAAATTATTCCACAAAATATGCCTAATAATTTGGTGGCTGATTTCCATCGCACCTTAAACTGTGGCTGGGTCCCTGCCATGCAGCCTGATGCTGACTGCATAGCAGGGCTCTAAGGGTGGGCTCAGTGGGGCCCCAGGGCTGGGACCAACAATCAGCTGATTGTAGGTCTCAGCCCCAAGGACTGCGCTGGACTCTCAAACTGGTTCTAGTGTGGTTCAGGGGCGGAGAATGACAATCAGCTGATTGCTGGTTCCAGCCTTGGGATCCCACCAGAGTTTCAAACCGGCCCTGATGTGGGCCCAGAACTGAGACTGACAATCAGGTGGTTGCAGTACCAGCACTGGAACTGCACCAGATTCTCAAATTCATTCTGGGACTGCAATGGTTCACCAGGCACCCAGCTTTCCACTTGCTGGTGCAGGGGAAGCATGACCTAGGCTACCCTTAGACTGGCAAGTAGTAATGGTATGACTGGGATCAGATCTCTGAATTGCACATCCTGTCATACATGTGTGGCATGGTAGGAGATGCAATTGGTGGGATTAAGAAACAGATCCCATCACAATTAAGTGAACATGTGCCAGGGCCCTAGTGTCCACCCTCTTTGCCTCATACCACTACCAGTCTCCATACTCAACTAGTCACAGGTTTCCTTTATGGACTTTCTGTGACCCTTCCTTCTAATGTGTTAGCTCCTTGTTCCAGTCTCCTTCTACTGGACCCTCATCCTAATTTCTCTTTCTTAGCTACTTGCTCAGGCTGTTGCAATTCCCACCAGCCCCGAATTACTTTCTCCAGTCTTTTTGATCAAGCCAGTCCAAGGCTCCTCCAATCCCTAGTTCCTGTTTGTCCTTCTCTATTTCCCTTTCATCCTCCCTTAACTTCTACTGGTCCCAGAAGACTTGAGGCTTACAAGACAAGTACTTCTAATTAGTTTGGGAAACCAACTCAGAAGAACAGAGAAAGGTCAAGTGAAGGAGTTCACCTGCTATTTGTGACACTGGGTTGCAACTTCAGAGTGTTACTAGGTATTCACCTAATTTTGAATGATTTATATAATGGCAATGGTAAAAAACATATTTTCCAGCCATAATCATGCTTGGCTGGAAAGATACATTGTTTCTCTTAGATCAAGTTGCCCAGCCTTCTTTAGTTTAGGAGTGGATTCCTTTAATTCCCTTTTATGTGGAGATATTTGTAAAGAGCATTTTGAAGCTTCAGCTAGGGCAGAATTTAGCAGCCCATTCACCCAGTAGTATTCCTTGCAGGGGAAGTACGTAGCACTATGAGCACCATGCTCTATGAGCTATGCTAGCCTTCCGCTAGTTTCAGAGCGTATAATCGTTTTGTAATCTATACACCCAGTAATGTGTGAAACCTGGCTAACTGAGAAATTGCTTTTCTCCTGAGGAAAATGCACAGCAATAAGTTAGCTGAGACATATTTTTTCTAACTATAAGCACAAGAGAACTGCAGGCAGGGCATTCTTAGCAAACAGTCTTTGCATTTGGAACCTACTTCTCTGTTCAGTCCAATCGAGTCCAAGTCTATTAGCTTTTTGGGGATGTTAAAATGCCCATCTGTTTTCCCATGGTTTACATGAATGAGTGTGTTAGCATTCAG